TTTTTGCAAGCAGATTATTAAGTTGTGCAAATGTTCTAAACTCCAAGGTGGGAGTTTATCTTACTTTCTCTACTGCCAGCATCACACTGACTGTGGGGTTGGGAGAAGTCTTGAAGAGAAGAAAATTATTCAGGCAGGAACAAAATTCTGCTACCACTGGTTTTGGTGGGTTTTTATCTCTCCTGTACGTTACAGAATTCTGTAGGGAAGAAGAAAATACTCCCTGTCTTTGATCCACTCAAAACAGCACTTACTGCTGGGGAACATCTGAGCAGAAAGGTGATGGAAAATAATGATTAAAAGCTTTTTACTAGGTGTTATGTGGTCATGACATCCACTTCTTTGTGTTATTGCAGGACTTTTGTTCCCAGCCCCACTGTTGAAAGCCATTCATCTGATCTGTTATTTTCTGTCAATGAATTACTGATGGAGAATTAAGAGCTGTTCAAAAATTCATGTCCAGATTCTAAGCTGAGATCAGTTCCTTCAACCTTAACTGACCCTTTCTGATCAGTACTGCCCATAAAACCAGAACTTGTTTTGGAAGCACCAGGCTCCCTTGATCATTTGCTGCACATGTAGAGGTGTGGGCCATCTATGAAAACATCACCTCTCAGTGCCTTTTGCTGTCTGAAACCTTATGGCTCACTGAATGTGTGTGCTGTGGTAGATCTAGAGTGGCCTTTTTTGAGATATTCCTTATTTCAAGCCATTCCTTATGGGTAGAATAGCCACCTAGATTTTTCTCCTTTTTTCCTCCTGAATCAGAAGTCCATGGACTTTAGATGTGATGCCTGCCTGTGTTCAGTTAGCTGAGGAAATCATTGACTAATAGTGTTCTTAGATTTTAAAGCCATATTCTAACTGTAGCTATGAACCGTGAAAAATAACCACAGTGCTTCCACAGCTCCTGAGAAGACATATGCAGAATTTGCATACAGCACTGTGGTGTTTTTCATAAGGTTTTTGGGTATCTGTTAAGCATGGAAACCCAGTTTCTCAAAGTGTTTACAAAACTTCTGCCACGGGAATGTTCTAGTTAATGAATAACTGCTCAGCATGCCCTTTACTAGCATGTGATTTTCCTCTTTGATGTTATGCGTGATCTTGGTTTAATTGGATATAGCTTTACAGACCTGCAAGGGCTCTCTGAAAAAGCAGTTCTGCTGATTAAATCTAATGACTGGTCAGAACTGGATCCTGTGCATTTCCCTGCCTTCCACCAGCTGTGGGGAAGCTAAACCAATGCTATTCTGAATCTCATGGTTTCTTGTTGATTTGTTTCTCCTCTGGTACCCTATCCCAAGGATAAACCAAGCCACAGGTCAGCTCTTGTGTATCTGTGCATTTCTGGATTTTGGAGACATTGAGATTCAGGAGCCACTTGAGTTTGGATTAGTATGTGAGTTATGAGGGCTCTCTTCTACTTCCTTCTCCAACAGAGATGTTCTTGTTTAGTTACTGTGGTGGAAATTTACTCCTAAGAAACAGCATTTGAGATTATCTCTGTGATTTTAGTTATAATCTAGTCTCCACAACTTGGACTGTCTTTTCCTTTCTTCTTTGTAAAGGAGGTGCAAGTAATTACCCATTACAGCTGATAGTGTTCATAATTTTCTCTGCCAAACATTATGGAACTGCAGTTTCCACAGGAATGCCTTTGCTTCCAAATAGTCAGCCTCTTAATGCTTGCAGACTGTTCACCTGCAGCATCTCTGTAGCAGATAGCTGTGGAATGAGAGGGGATAAAAGCATTAGAGGGGGGCAGTGGGAGAAGGTATGAATTACCCAGGAGACACCAGAAGGATGATGAGCTAGGTAGAAGCTATGGCAACATGATGTGGAAGCAGAGTTGTCATGTTTCTGTCCCTTCTGCCCCTGGCAACAGAGTGCATTTGCCATAAGGCATCAGCAAGTCTGTAACTTCAAGTCAATATTTGTGCAGGCTTATCATGACTGATTCGTTTCATGGCCAAGTGCTGCCTGGTGCAGCGTTCTGTGTTTGTTAGGTGGAGGAAATGCTTCCTTTGGAGAATCTTGTTCAGCCTACACTTAGACACCAACCCAAGCCTTCCTGAGATTAATTCCAATGCCAGACAATTTGAAAAACAGTGTTTCATTCCAGTTACAGGCATCTTAGTCCTTCCTGGTTCCCACCTGTTTTCAGTACATTTTGTATTGTGATGCATCAGCAATTTATAATAATATAGTAAGGGTTTTTTCTCTCACTGCACAAAATGCCCTTATTCTGATTTTATTCATTATCTATTAGATGTGCTTTGAAAACCAATTTTAAAATGAACCAAAAAAAAAAAGGCAGCATCAAAAAATATATTAATAGAAAGTGATGTATTTTGACTGTAGTGTCATTACTAATAGGAGTTCCGAAGCACTCTGGTCTGAGAACTTACTCTTTCCTACAAATGGAAGCTGCAATATGCATATTACTGATCAAGGAAAGTTAGCATGGTGAGAAGGTATAAACAGTAGCAGAAAGCTTATTCCTGCTAATTGTACTGTCAGTGGGCATGAATTGTAATTATGTGTACATTCTGGTGGTATAATTGGAATATCCTCTCATATTTTGTTTGAAAAGAGGCAAAAAGTCTTGTGTTTAAAACCAGGAAATCTCATGCATTCTTGCAAGGAGGCTTAGATTGTATGTTCATAGGGCAAACTGGAGTAGGATGGCCCAGTCCTGTATCTAAGAAGAAAAAAGCCAGGGGAACAGCTCTGGGGAAGGGACCTGGGTGCCCTGTGGGGGGACATTAATGTGGACACGAGCCAGCAGTGGACCTGGCAGCAAGGAAGATTTGACAGCAGTCTGGGCAGTATCAGCAGAAGCAGAGCTAGCAGGAGGAGGAAAGTGATTAATGTCTTCTGCTTAACATTTTTTAGACCATATTCCAAACATTGTGTCCTTTAACAAACAAAAACTCACCAAACCCAGGAGGTGGGTATAATACTAATGTGAGCTGAGCAAAGGGTCACTAAGGGGTTGAGGAGCTAGAACACTTGCCCATTGAGGAGAGGCAGAGAAAATGGGGCTCGTTCAGCTGGGAGAAGGGACAGACTGGGGAGCACTGAAGGGCAGCCTGCTCCTACATTAACAGCTTTGAAATCCCCAGACTCCCATAATCACACAGATTCCCTAACTGACTTTCAGTGGACCTTCCTCCCTAATTCCACTACTTTGGGAAGGAGAGTGTAGCAAGTGGAAGGACTTGAGGATTTTCTTTGTGTCGACCAGCTGCAACTCTTGACTTGGAAAAATACAGGAGACACAATTCAATTAATACTCCTCCCATCCCCATAGTCAGTTTTTAGAAGGTTAGGAAGATATGCAAGAATTAAGAAAACATACTTAGCTCCTTAGTGCTTAACTCCTCTGCCAACCTCAAGGCCCCAAAGTTTGTGGATGCTACTTCTGTCAGTAGTCTTCTAAGATTGACTCTGAAATTGCAAAAATTCCTTCTTTAACTGCTAATTGTTGGCCTCTGGGTTTTGTACAGCATGTGCAATAAGGAGTCACTGAGTGATGTTCATTCCCCTTACCTACTGCTGGTTTTTTGGCATCCCCAAGTGTGGGTACCATGGAAATCACAAAATACACTGCTCTGCATCTCAGAGACTCTCTGGATGTCTTAGCAGGACATCATTTACTCTCTCCAGTTACTTCCTCTGCTACAGTAGAAATAATTGCTTTTAACTACAAACCTCAGACCTTCCATATGGGTAGCTTGCGACCTGCCCTACATCCTTGAGCATTTGCAAGGCAGCTGTCTTACCTACAACTGAGTTGTAAGTTATCTTTCTGTTAAAGGAAAGATGTACACAGTAAAGGTTACCCGGATGAATGCTTTGATCTGAATTGAAATATTGGGGTGAATTAAGTTTTTAGGTCAAAAGCAAAAGCTGTCTAGCTCAAATTTGAGCTTTTTTTGAGAAAAAGCTAACCAAAACAATGGTGTTTTTCTTGTTGAATATTTTATATTTTTAAACTAGCAGGAGCATTGTGCTCAGTGAATGGCACAATTTACTGCCTCCTTTTTTTAAATACTTTACAGTGTACGTCATTGCAAAAGCGAGGTAGTCATTTGGTCTTTAATTTCTGATCGTGACTGCCTTAGAACTATTCATTGTCTTGCTATATATAGAACTTGAATTGCCTTCCTTCAGCCCTAGTACTGTTCAGCAAGTGGTGGTCTCAGGAGAGAGCTTCCAGCACAGATGACATGCCTGAACATCATTGTGCTGCTCTGCACTTTGAAAGGAGAGGCAAAATAAGCTGTAAAGAGTAGCTGTCATTCCAATGGTAGCACTGATACCCTCAGATCAGGGTTGAAATTAATTCTGCCAAAAAACCTCCATTTTCTTCCGAGCTTAAGGACGAATTCAGGTTTCCTGCAGTTCATCTGACATATTTCACCTTTCATGTCAGGAACTTCTTTTTGCGTACAAAATTTATTACTGCTAAAGCAGATGGTGATAATGCAGTTGGTAATACATAATGGATTTATCATTGTCTATTTGGAGAACAAAATAGTAATTTCATTTAGTAGCAATAAAATTCTGAGTTATAAATATTTTTCCCTCCATGTGTACAGATAATGTTTGTATGTCTTTGGAACTGAGACAGGAGGTACTTAATAATTAGGCATTAACCAAAAAAGATGGAGATACACATCACTTTTGAATCAGAAGTTTTATGACAGAAAATCCTGTTTGTGTTATTTCTGTGTTTTCTGTGCCTGTGGTCTCACGAATAATTCAGTGTTTTATTTTAAATAGTGTTTTTGAGCATTGTTGGAAAACATGTCAGCACTGTATTTCCAGAAGAGTGTCAGTGGTGAAACTGAGCATTCTGCTCCTAAGAAAGGAGCAGGTTAATTGTCCAGGCATTTAAATGACCTGCAGATTGCGCGGGTTGTAACAGAAGAGTGGACTGCTCAGATGTGTTAGTGATGCTCAGCTGAGTCAGAGCTCTCTTTTTGGTGCAGGTATTTTTGGGCAGAAGCTGGAAGACACTGTGCGGTACGAGAAGCGCTATGGGAACCGCCTGGCTCCCATGCTGGTGGAGCAGTGCGTGGACTTCATCCGCCAGCGGGGGCTGAAGGAGGAAGGCCTTTTCCGACTGCCTGGGCAGGCTAATCTCGTCAAGGAGCTACAGGATGCGTTTGACTGTGGAGAAAAGCCTTCCTTTGACAGGTAAAACCCTGCAGCTGTTCCCTCGCCCTGCAGCCGAGGCGGGGCACGGTGTGCTGGGCTGGCTGACCCGCAGTGCTGTAAAACACATGGCAGCAACAGACAGAATTTTTGTTTTTGTAGGTTTCTCTGTGTGTTTCCTATTACCGCTCTGAAATGTCTTCTTTTTTGTTCCGACTTTGATGTCTGATTTCAAAGCGTTTCTGGAGAATTTCCTTTTGTGAAAAGTTGGTTAGGGAAAGTATTGCTAATGTTTTGGCTTAATCAAAAATATCTGGATTGCCTTGATCTTAATATCATTTTAAATGCAGTGGTGATGCTGGCATTTAGTCAATTCCACAAAGGAAGAATTTCTGTTATCACCAGTCTCAGTGTATTCTGTTATCTATAGAACTTAACTGGAAGGGAAGATACTTTCATGCATTTCTTTATAATTTTGGGCCTTTGGTCTTATAATGAAAGTCACTCTGACCATAGAAACAAACCTATGTGATCTTGAGTGTCCACATCTTATTTGTATTCCAATATTTATGCAGTTTTACAGAGTTAATGAGAGTTTCTGGGCCAAGGAAAACCTGGTCCTGTTCATACAGCTGGATATGACTTTACTCTCCTGTAAGTAATTGTAGTCTCCTGTGATTTTTGTACTGTCTTCCTGTAAGCATTGGCAGCAGTAGTCACATATCCAAATGTCCAATCAGAGAAACAGAACCAGTGCCACATGGACTTTTTAACTCTGACCAGAATTACTATTATGGTCATGAAATTCCAATTCAGGAGACTGTTAGACAGTGGTTGTCCTCAGCACGTGCCCTAAGTGACATCCATATCACACCCCCACAGTGGTGTCAGCATGCTTCACTGCATTTGTGGGCCCAGTGGGGATTAGGAGGAAGAGGCAGATTGCATTTATTATGTGAGACCTTTGTCTGATAGCAATCCAAGTAACAGGAAGGAAAGTGTAGCTTGATCTTTTAGTGCAAAAGCATGCCATAATTCAAACCTGATTGCTGGAAATCATTTAGGTGCCTCCATTCCCTGTTCCTGTGAAGTGAGCAGATTCATTAAGCTTGAAGGTTTGTTCGTCAGATGAGCAGAAGGCAGACACCTGTAATGTTCTTTCATCTCCAACAGTTTCCTCAGTCCTGACACTCACTTTAAAAGAAAAGTTAAGAATTTATAATGCTCTCAAAAAGTGACTTGTCTTCCTATAAGGTTTATTAGTTTCTCGTTTGAAGGTGAGTTAGGATAATAGATGAGTAAATGGCTTTATGGAGCCAGAGGACTATGGGAAGTGACTTTGTTAGCTGGTAAGTGTTTATGGCACGCTCACTTACTGTTTAAATACCATGAAACTTATTTTAAAATGGTGAAGAAGCATCTACATTTCCTTACTTGGACATTATGATAAATATTACTGATAATGTCTGTCTCTGCCAAAGGGTAGGCGAGTGGCAGAAACAAAAGGTTATTTTTTCTGTGCCTGTAAACCAAATAATTGTAGAGGAAATGCTTAAGAAAACAAGCCACCCTGAACTGTGGGAAGATGATGTACTGAACACCCCACTGAGAGGTACAGCTTGAAGGAAGTGCACAAATTCTAACTACTCCAAACGAATGAGACCAGGGCTCAGCTGCACTAATTTTTTTTCAAGGTTATCTAGCAGCATCTGTAGCACAGACTAATGAGCCCCATGAACAGGTATGCTGGCTGAGCTTTAGCAGATGAAAAGGAGAAGAGATTTTACATGCTACTGCTGTGAAGGATGCACGTAATTTCTATTCTAGCAATTAGAAACAGCAGCAGGAGCTGCCTATAAATCGCTGGTCCTGCAGTTCTTTTCTGAAGCTCAGAATTTATAGAACACTGACCTTGTACGTCCCCATGTCTTGCACAGGGTACTTTTCCTGTTTACTTTTTCACATTTGAGTTTGGAGAGGTGTTCAGGTGCAGCAGTGGTCCAGAAGTCAAGCAGACATAAACTCTGATCTCTGCATTGTTTCCATTGGGCATCTGCTTTTTTCCTCCAACCTTTTGTTCCATTTGTAAACTCTTGAGGTGAAGTTCATTTCACAGTAGTACCTGTGTGATGACCTTGGTTTGGGGTGACTTTCCATTGTGCTGAACAGCAGCATGGGTTCTCTTTGGTAAGCTGAGCTCTTGGAAAGTGGCCACAGTATGGAAAGTGCTGTTGAGGAAGAAAAAAACACATACATTAGGCATCCATGCTTACTTTTTCTTGTGAATCTCTAGATCCACTGTGTTTAATATGTAATTTATTACATGTAAATGTAATTAATTTATTACATATTAAAGTAATAATAACATATAATTTATTACATGTTATTATTAGCCAAAAGTCCCATCATGCAAAATCCACCCAGGTTCTCTCTATTAATTTACATCAATAGTAATGGAGAGAATTTTGCAGTTAGAGCAGAGCTGACATTTTTGTTCCTGGGGCATGGAACACAATGGAATACAGGTCACACTTCCGTAGCGGTGCTGGGTCACTGGCTCTGACAGGGAGAAAGACTGGCTACTGTCATCAGTGTTGGAACTAACACAAAGAGCTGATGTTTGAGGAGTAGACCAAGCACAAGCAGAGCAAATAAAGCAAATTAGAAACAAGAAGGAGAACAGCTTCACTCAAAAGAAAATGCAGCCCTATTTTGAAACACATAAAACATATCTGAGAAATAGTTGCTTTTATGTGAGTTAGGGGCTGGGTGTTCCAATACTGAAGTCATTTATAAAAACCATAGTGGAAAAAATCCTCCACTTAAATTTTGATCTTGATGTTATGGTTGGAATAAGATGTTGCTGAAGAACTGTGTATGAGAAGGAACGAGTGTTAAAAAATTTTCAATCTCAGGGACTGAGAAAATCCTGTGTCTCATCTGAAACATCCAATACCCCAGGCCCCCTCTTACAAAAACTGGAACACCATCATTTCTTGATGATCAGTATTGGAAAGGTGAGGTGCAGCTGCTGCAGCTGAAAATTGCTGAGGCCTTTCGTGTGAAGAAAAACACAACGCCTCAAAATTGTGTGTCAGTTTAGAAACAAAAATCAATAAATACCTCACTCCCTCTGAATGTATCTGCACATATTGTGAAATTTGCTTTAAGGAACTAGCTGTGCAATTAGGCAATCACTCATGCTTGCTATTATTTGAAATATCCTTGGTATTTCCAGTACAGCTCCACCTCTGTGTAAAATTGTCCCCTCCAGGGAATCCATTTTCTTCCCCCTTGGGGTATTTTCTTCTCCGTTCTTGTGTGGCTTATGTTTTACTTATAAAGTCCCTCATCTCCTTTACAAATCATACATTTGTAATGACACAAAGTGAATTATGACCATTTGTTCTGTGAAATTAGCACAGAGAATATGGCACTGCATAAGGAAAATTGCATAAGGATTTGTTCTCCAGTTTTTACCTCGGAGGGGTAAAAATTGGATTTCTTTTTCTATATTGCCTCTTTTCATCTGCTGTTCGTCACAATTACTACCAGATGACATGTGAGATAACATTGCTCAGGGAGAAAAAATATTTGAAATGTCACTGAAACAAATATTAATAAAAAATTAATGTGATTGATGTGTGTGGCTTGGATTTTCATAACTATTACTGATGTACATAGTTGTTCAGTGGTTCAGAGAGTTTAAAACTTACATAGCTCACCCGCCAGCATTTGTGTGCGTGCACAAGAGAGAAGGAGAGCACATAAATGCATATTCAGCAAAACAAAATCCCTCGTACATTCTTTTATGGGTATGAATTGCTCTAAAAATGTTACTGCTGTGGTCACCATTGCAGTCAGCTGAGAAAAAGGGTGCCTAAGTTGGTAGTATGTGATAGCTGGCAATACATATTCACTGGAGCCAAGTAATCCAAAATGTAAAACTGCTATGTTCCTAGGCATTAAATCACTGGGATTGTTGAAGCAAAATAAGACAGTGACGAGAATGAGGTGAGAAGGAGCACATGCACAATTCTTTTTCTCCTCCAGAGGAGGAAAAAAATTTTAAAAGAATGTTTTAAAATTGTGGTAAATGATGGAAATGGGACTTGTCTCATTTGGGCTGCAGTCTGCATTGGCACTATGCAGATGGCAAGCAGAAAACACTGGTTGTAAAAATTGTTCTTTGTTTTTCAGCGCCAAGCCTGTACATAAGAATTTGTTTAGAAGCAAATAGTTTCCCACAAAGAAGAGGCTTCATATGCCTTCCTACTGGCAAAGTGCAGTAATCCCTTAAACTCCACATTTTTATGTGAAATGAAGTCTTTACTCGAAAGCTTGTTCCTGCCAAACACAAATGGCCTTAGGCCTGTGAAAATTCCTGTTTGTTTCTTCTAGTTCCAGACTTTCTTCCCTGATCCTTTCAATCTGCTCATCAGCTATGCCTCTGGACCCACTTCCATGTCCTTTCCAATTCCAGCCCTTACTCTAACCAGCTAACAGAAATAGCCTCTGCATATGGCACAACTTAAAGACCTAGTCTCGCAATTAAATACACATTAGGAGACATATCTAGTGTGATGCAAGGGTCATTAAATCAGTTTAATTGGTGTCCTGTTGTGTTTTTAGTTGGGTTTGGTGTCCTCAGTGTATTTTTAGTTACTGGCAGTGAATGAACATTTGTAGTTACTTGGCATAAATTTCAGTTTCAGAAATGCTTGGTTTGTCAGCTGTGATTGAAACAAAAAAAGAAAAGGCAGCTACATATTTCATTTGCCAGTGACCAATGATTTCTCAGAGAGCCATGGTCACCTTTAAGAAATATGGCACTGCATAAGGCACTGCAAAATGACATTTTGTTGCCATGTGCAACTTCTGAGAGAGTAGTTTTTTCAAGCATTTTTATCCAGGTTGCAAAATTGGTGGCTTTTTCTTCCAGTAAACAAGAACAGGTGGGTTATTTGTTGTTGGTTTCCGTGTTTTTACATATGATTACAATCCCTGAAAAATCTTGGAGAAATTCATATTTCAGGACAAAT